TATGTCTTACAATTATTGTATAATCATAAATAGCAAAATAAGGTTGAATTGTCCACATACTTTGGTGCTTGTATGTGTTGACCTTTCTATCATTTCCATTCAACGTTAATGACCTCAGACAGAAGCAGAAAGAACATCTATATGTAGTAGTTCATTTAATGTTCAAAATGAAAATGTCTTCTGAATGTTAAGAATATAATTTTCTACAATAGTAATAGTTAAACTAGTTATTTACATATATCCTTTAAACTAAACCTTGGCAGAACAAATCAACTTATAAAGCTAAACATAAAAATCATTGAATATAGTTTAGAGATTTAAATAAATGTCCTTTTCAGGATAAAATATGTTATATAATATATTAGTTATAGAATTGAAAACTATAGAGGAAATGAATTAGCGATAAATGTTTTACTTATAAGCTTTCGGAAAATACAAAAAAGTATGTCAGGCAAATTAGATATAGAAGTGAAACCTAAAATCATTACATTAAACGTATATTAAATTGATACTTCACAACACAATTGGTTATACTAACTGTCTTGCTTAATATTTATGAAAATGATGCATTACATGTGATACAAACTTTTCAACTTTTTAGAAGTATGTTAAATGTGTTAGTAATACTATCCTCTTATAGAATCACGTGTAATACAGTTAAATATGTAAATGAAAAAGTTAAACATAAGTTCAGACAAGTTGAATCTGTATACAGTCCTATGGAAGTATAGCAACACTGCCTGCTTATTGAAACACCATCGGCCTTTGTAAAACCCATGTAATTTAATTAAATATACATATGAAATCTATAACCATAGGTTGAGACAAGTTGAAATGTGTATGCAATCGTACAAAAGTATAATAACACTGTCTGCCTATAGAAACACCATCCACCTTGTAAAACACATACAATATGCCTAGTAAGACCATCCACTTAGAGAATCTCTGTAAGTCCTTGTAATAATAACATTGTCCACCCATAGAAGCAATGTCAGTCTTTGTAAAACATATGAAATATGTAAGTGAAGACTATAAGGTAATTGTCAATATGGGTAAAATGAAATATTTTGTCAAGAACTCGTTTACTGTTATACACAATAAAAATCATAGTAATATGGGCAGAGGAATAGTATAAGAATATATTTAATCCCTAAAGCCAAATTAATGAAACAGTAAGATTGTAGTATGTTAAATCATTGCATGATATTTAGAGATATTATCAGGAAAAATCCGTCCTTTTCAGGACATATATTTGTAAAAGGCATGTCAGGCAAATAAGATATTGATTAATCAATAATCCTATGAACTATGCTAACACTGTTCTTGGTAGCATCATCTGCCTGTAGAAACACCATCTGCCTTAGTTAAACTTATGCAATATTTAAGCAAAACTATAAAGTTGATGACACTTTGATATACATCATCCTCTGTGGTTTACGCATGAACTATCTAGACATAATCACATGTTGAAACACGTTGAGACACAGTAGATGACTGATCATCCTATTGAACTACCCATTTATAGAAACATCATCCACTCTAGCAGCACTAACCTTAGTAAGACCATCAGCCTATAGAACCTTTGTAATCTAATCCCCCTAGTAACACAAACCATTTTTTTAGAATACACACAATAAGCATAGTAACCTAATATGCCTATAGTAACTCGTCCACTTCTAGAACGTTAGTATCATCGTGCCCCAGTAGAGACTTGGTAACACTGTTCGTCTATAGTAATAGACCCTGTGGTTTTGAACTATGATGTCACCTCTCCCCCTAAGTACACGCCCCCTGGTACCACTTCTTGGAACTATGACTTTTAGCAACACGCTCTCTAATAATGGCTGGAGATGTCTTGAATGGGTAATGAAGAAAAACTTTAATATAAGTTTAACATAACAGCAAATGTACAACGTTTCGACAAGGTTTTGTAATCACACAATACCAACGTCATTTACAAAATAAC